TTTTTTATAGGTTTAGGCTCAAGAAAGAAGTCATCCGCCGAGGGATTTTAGTATCGGTAGTATTATATAGTTAAGATTTAAGTAATTTATAAGGTTTATTGTGAAAGGTGGGTAGATGTAGAACTTGTGATTCCATCTACTTGCCTTGGGCCTCCACTCGCAGCAACCTCCTCGTGGTGAGGCCTGGGCAATCGGTATTATCTTCGGTAAAGTACTGTAAACTGAAGACAATATCGAGCTAATGGCTGCGAACTTCGACTTTATCTCATAAAACTACGTTCTATATTACATCGAACTAGGATTATTTTAGAAATCGCTATGAGATTCAAAGTGTAAAAATGGAACTTTAACACTTTTTTAAATATTACATTGATATTTCGTTGGTCTCAGTATTAGCGCACTGCGCCGAACGCGGATAGCATGATGTTGTAGTCTCAAGGGAGCAATTGAATCGAATAGACGTGTACCATAGCCCATCGTACTGTATTTCAAACTTTTATATCATTATAATTTATATGTATATATGCATATTCCGATAAACATACGTCAAGTAGTATAAGCTTCATTTCATCGAATTGTCTTAAATATAACTGCATAAATATTGTACAATCCTATACTAATTATAGTTGTCTGGTTCACCAGTTTACTACAGAAACTAATTACTGCCTACGTCTTTTAAACTTGGGCTCTAGTAGTATCTGCAGAAACTGCCATGGTTGCTGGGGTTACTATACAATTTGCTCACGGAAGCACACACAAGTGTCAGTCAGATTTCGACAGTTGCACGAGCAACATTAAAACGAGCTCGAGACTCTTACGAGCAACAACGATAAAGGTTCACGTTTTAAAACACTTTCGCATGCTCCGGAGGTTCTATGTCCCCACGTTCTCACCACACGGGGTCTCTGGCGCCTCTACCAGGGGTCCTATGACCCCACTTACTCGCACACGAGGTCACTTACTTATGCTCCGGGGGTTCAATGACCCCTCTTACCTAGCTACTACCACCGACTCGCGGTGATTAAACCATTCAGCACTTCTAGGGACCATTCTCTTTGCTGCGCCTAATGAATTTTATTAAACAATTAATTATTGCAACCTTTCTAGTCGATTTGATTGCTTCAAATGGTTGTAGGCAATCTCAATAAAGGTCGTCGCGCATTTTGACGAAGTCCGACGAAGAAATTTGTTTCAACCATTGGACAACTCTTCCAACGTTATGCTGATAGCTTTTGTGTAGACCAAGCACTCGGTTTATAGTTGAAAGAACGTAGATTAATCCTCTGCCATTGAAAATAACACTAAACGACCAGAACACTGTTAAAATCGCATTTAATCGTAGGATACCACTATTTTTTTGACCGGTGGCGCCACCCGTGGCAATTTGCGCAAACTGCTAGCCAAATTATACCGACAGGTGAGTGAATATTCCTTATGATGGAAAAATGCGAATATCTCAGTAATTAGGCGCCCGAAATAAACGTCCTTAGTCTCAAAAGATTTCCAATGACTTAATGCATCGATCCAATACTACAGAACCTCAGAATTAGTAAAATTATTTATGTCTGTATTAACGTAGACCCCTATTGAGCGGCAACCCTACTTTCAGAAGATTCCTATCGCGTTTACACCGTTGAACAGGCATCAATTTTCTTCGTCACGCATTAAATTCGATGTTTAAAGAACGTAGATTAGTACTCTTTAACGACTGGGAAACAGTAATTAGAAGAACATTGTTAAAATCACAATTGTTTGCAATGGTACTGTTAAAATCACACTTTATTTCCAACGGTTGACACTGTATCTTGTTATGCGTACCCCGGTTAGTTCACTTTGCACAGCTCTTACACCGTTATACGGACAGCTTTCGTTTAGCTGAAGCACTCAATTTGTAGCTGAAAGTACGTAGATTAATCCACTCGTATTGATAATAACAATAAATGACCAGAACACTGTTAAAATCGCATTTAATCGCGGAGTACCACTATTTTTTTGACTGGTGTCGCCATCCGTGGCGAATCGCTGAAATTGCTAGCCAATTATATGGCTAGCAGTTTCAACGATTCGCCACGGGTGGCGCCACCGTTCAAAAAAATAGTGGTATTCCGCAATTAAATGCGATTTTAACAGTGTTCTGGTCGTTTATTGTTATTTTCAATGACAGGAGATTAATCTACGTTCTTTTAGCTTTAAACTGAATGCTTGATCAAGACGTAACTTGTCCATATAACGTTGGAAGAGCTATTTAAAGTGAACTAAACAGGATACGCATGATGGGATACAGTGTGAACCGTTGCATTTGCCGTTTCCCGCGCTTTTTTAAAAGTGTTGGGAATGTACTATGTTGCTATTATTTATTGTTTTTTATTATGTTTTTGGTAAATTGGAATTAGGAATGGGAGTGGAGATAGTGTGGGTATGATTTTTTTTTAATAAAAAGAAACATAAATGCTTATTAATCTATACGAGTGATACGCTATTCAATTCAATTGTTCGCTCGCGATTGATATCCTGCTATCTTCGATCGGCGGTTAATTATCAAGGCCGGTGAAATTTCATTGTAACACTTAAAAAAGTTTCGAAGTTCAATTTCTATCAATACCCTCTGAAAATCTTCATAGTTCCAGCAATTCTTCTATTCCAATCGAAAGATCTACAGAATATAAGGAATAAAATCGATTTCGCTGGATGGAAAGCAATGCGAAGCCAAAGTTTTTACTTTTAAACGAGCAATTGTTTCCTTCCCGTGCTTGAAGAATTACCCTCAATCGCGACGATTGCTCGTACTTCCTATTGTTAGATTTACGACTCGAACTTGTTTCAAGTTGTTGCCGAGAGACTTTTATGCCTTGTCCTTTTCTCGCGGAAAGTTCCAGAAATCCCATTTCTATGGTACGGGAAGTAATTACAAATAGAAAAATTGTTCCAAGTACCAGAGGGGTTGCCATACTGTCGTGGATCGACTTTTCGATCGACTAAATCATTATCCCTGCCATTCGAACAACAAATAAATCTGCAGATTTATTCATTTTTTTTATTTTCCAAACAAGTGCAAAGTCCACTTTGTCGAACTGATCGAAACAACGATTATGTCCCGTTGAAACTAGGAATCTCCAAAAGCGCACTAATCGTTGCTCTTAACGATCAATGGAATATTATTTTAAAGAATCGAACAGTTTAACGAATGCTTTTTATTCACCTCTCTAAGAACGAGATATTACGGTTTGACCGAGCGCAGGCTAATTCGACACCGGATTATCATGTTTCCCGCGTTGAAACGAGTCGCGCAAATTATCGATCGAAAAATTCGAGACGGAAGGATGGAGTTCGTACACAATTGGATCGTGTATATAGATCCACGATCGGTATTCGGCGGGAGGAGAGGGCACATGTTGAATATATAAACCGAGAGTTTCGTTCGATCGTTTCGTCTTTGGACAGTCGTTTATCGCAACTAAACCTAGTTTTTCTCGTCGTGCCTAGAATGGATCGTCGTTTCTTCCGCTCCCTTCTTTTTGTCATCGTTCTTCCGACGATCACGATGTAACACAATTACCTTTCGATTCATTCTTTTTTTCATTCTCCAATTTTTCGACTTCTTGTTCTAACTATATTCTTGGCCGTTTTGAATAATTCCAGGCAGCAGCCCACCGAAACAGGCGCGTGCGTGTGTGGTATATTTTCGGTGGGAAACTCGGAGTCGATCATGGAACAGTCGCTTCCGGTGAAATTCAAGTGCGACACCGAGGGAGACGAGATATGCCAACGGCTGTGCATTGCTATGGTAAGTGAATAGTAATAATATTTATTTATAAACGGGTTACGAACCCGACGAGCAAATTAGGCTTCCACTAAGGGAAAATGTGAGGTAGGCGAAAGGCCTCCTACCATTTAGTTTTGGGAGTTACTGAAATTTATGCGAAATTAATATTCGGTTTAACATTTATTTCTGTACTTGACATAAATTTAGTAAGTGCTGGGAGACTTTTCTTCTACGCCACATTTTAACTATATATTAAATTTACAAAAACTTATCGTAGTATATGTATACAGAAAGTGTAAGAAAATTTCATTAAGGTTCTACAGTACTAAATAAAGAATTACAAAAATAAAAGATAATTCGTGTACACGTGTACTAACTAGACTGTGAAAATTTATGCAAATTCGCGACTTCAGATACTAAAAATTAAAATGGAGAAAAAGCTTTGAATTTCAAAACTAAAGGCTTTAGTACGTTAATATCAACACCATAAATAGTATTAGAATTCATTAAAAATCGCCATTTTATTGCTTTTCCATGTTAAGGAACGCTTATATGCATAAACATCCATGGTCTATTAATATAAATACATATTATACGTAGCATATCGGACACTGGAGACCGGAAGCAAAATGGAAATTTCTGTTCAATTCTGTGCAGGCTATGTCCATGAAAGACACGGGACCGCAGATGATTTGCGAGAAGCTGAACTCGCACGTCGAGAATCTGCAGGTGAGTCTCTCGATCTCCTCTCTATATCTCTTATTTCAGAAAATATAGGATCGATACGATTCTTCCAATTTTCGTTCGGATATTTATTATTATATTTTTTTTTTATATTGAAAATCCTAAGTTCCTCGAAGACCAGCGAGTTTGTACGATGAAATTTCTGTTAGGTCGCCGTCTACTGGAAAATGTGTGATCAGACCCCATGGAAGTTCACCGGTCTGAAGAGCGCAGAAGTACTCTGCTGTGACGAGGGTCATCCGACGCCGTGCAGACAGCGGGCTCCAATGATGATGAATTAAACGAGCCCAGGAACAGGTACGTATTCGCTGGGCGAAATTTTTAAAGGTGTTCACACGCTATTATTGACGATAATTTTTCTTGAAAATAGTAAATGTTAGAAAAAAATTAAAGAGGAAAAAGTAGTACCGTTTTTTGCATGCAACATGTTGTATGTAATTTTTTTGTATTTGCATTATTTTTTTTAGAAATGAAGGTGAGCTTCACTTTTTTTTAATGGAATGCTGTATATTCTTGTATATTGCATGAAAGCGTTTGTTAGAACGAATTCATTCGTATATAACATTATGACCTTCAAGGTTGATCAAGGTCAGAAATCGAAGAAACGTTTTGAATATTTCACAAAACATAACACGATGTTGTATAACGATTTTCGTGTTATTTGGCAAGTTACTACGTTATTTCAGTGTGACGTCATTAATAATAATGAGACGTGAAATTTTATACAAACTTGTTACGGTCTTTACTATAAGGTAGGTCATACCAAAAGGTATGAATCCTGTGACAAGTTATAAAAACATGTTGTATAGCAATTTGTTATATAAGACTTCTTTTATTATATTATACAGTGTAGACGCAGCTTTACCCCGTCGATCGCGGTAAAGGCCACGATAACATTTCTTCGATTCTCGATAAATCGATAAATTCGTTCATTGGGCGCTGTAATTAATTCACGTAAATGAGTATCGATCAGAATTCTAATCGTGTAATTAAATTCGATGAAATCAATTACAGGTGTACGTGTGAATCTGAGTACCGTCTATCTTAGCGTCACTGAAATGTCTTCGTGGATTAGAAAGATTAGTTACTCGCGTAGAGTAAACTGGGCCAACGTTACAGAATTTTCTTCAGGGGATGAAACAGGTGAAATTCGAACGTGAATTGGTATCCATTTTGTTTCCTCATATCGAAATCTGTTGATATTAAAGTATATAACGTTTCCGAAATCACTAAGATCTATTCATTTTCCTTCCTTACATAATAATTGGACTGCGGATTTTATGCATTTATTTATAAAACTTAATTTCAAATCATTGAGGGTTGATAATTTTCTGCACAACTCGTCCCAATTATACATCATAATTTCATATTAAACATAAGTATCAGCCCCATTTGAAACTATATTCTTTGCAGACTTTGCCATCCACGGATTTCCTTCGTCTGGACGATTTTCCTAAATCTGATCGGACCACGAACTTCAAAGGTGATTCTCGACGAGTGAATGTCGTCGGTTTAAAAGCATTAAACCCTCTAGATTCTCGTTTCTTTCTCTCCCTTCCTTTTTGCCTGAAAACGATTATACGTACGCGACCAAAACCGTCGAGGTGACACCAGAATACAAAGTAAGGGAGGCTCGCAGTTTCTCAGATATCGTTCCCATTTCGTCGATGGTGTTCCAAGAGGCTGCTTCGTCCCAGAATCTGGGGCCATTCAATGGAGCGGGTTTGTTATCGCTCGTTCGATTTACCGGCGATGAATCCTCAGACGTGGGGTTCTCTATCTATATGTATATATATGAACCATACCAGCTCTAGGAGGCCATTGTGCCATCCCGCGCGGTTTTGTCGTGCCTTCATCCCCCGATTTAATGAGTCCGTCGTTTTCGCGTAGTCTCCTCCTCCCCTATTCTACTCAGAAATCTACTCGACTTTTCCTGGCTTCATGTCAGTCGACACTATTTTCTTTCTTTGGATTAACTTCCGAAAAGCATCCACAGCCGATGACCCGGACCTTGAAATTGTATGTTACCAAGATCAGAATAACCTTCGAACAATTTAATTGAAAAGATTATTGGTTCTTAAAGAGTTATGAACAAATAAAGATGCTCGAAGTGTGTCCAACCAACCGTGATTCGCATAATGTTTCAAAGTTGATCAGAGACAGTTCAAGAGAAAAATAATTCAGACTTGGATTTTTTGCGGATAAAAAACGACGAAATCAGCAAGTATTTATTCTACCATTTTGTTTTTTTAACTAGCTTTAACTAACTCAGATTGGTATAATCTCTTCAACAGCATTTTTTAAAGACACACTATGTTACAAAAGTTTAGATTCCTGGGAAAATTACGATAAATTTTTCAATCTTTCTTTGTTAATACCTTTTTAATCACCAATAATCTGCGGTTTAAATCTTTTAAAGTTTACTCGAGAGGGTTACCTTGATAGAATATGTCGAAGTCAGGGTGGGGTGGTTTTCGGAAGTTCACCCCTTTCTTTTACAAAAGATTTTTCCGAATTTCCGTCGTGGGAGAGCCCTTTCAAAAAAAACCCTAGTGTGTGTCGTCGACCCTTTCGCAGACTGTACCTACCTTGGAAATTCACACAGTGTGTTTCTAGCCAAACCTCCGCATCGGAGCCTAAAACTTTGACTTCCCAGCGGAGGCGGCGGTTGTGTGGTTTTCGCGATTACACCGTGACCGAGAGAATCAACGACGGCTCGAAAATTCAGTCGGCAGCTGTCGCGCATTAAACTCCACCACCCCCCAACCCCTTTTAACCGATGCAAGCCAGGTGGGAATACCTACTGTGAAGGATGTCGCACGACTGGGTGAAAAACTGTAAACGAACGATTCAAGGTAAAATAGAAACGATCTATGGTCCCGTGTTCTGAGATGTATAATGAATGATGTAAGAAAATTTCGTTAAAATTAGACGAAGTGGCGTGGATTTTTTTGGGAAGTTAGAAGGATTGGTTTATTAAATGATGTGTGAAAACAATGTTTGAAAGAGTTGCAACTGGTTGGAATCGTGCAGAAAATAGTAAAGATCGATTTTAATAACTTTCTTTTATTTGATATTGTAATGAAAATTTAATAAATACATTTCAGCCGATTTTTCCCGTTTCTACCAATGATCGTTAACCGATTAGAATAAACTGCGTTGCTCACGTGCGGTTCATTCCGAGATTTCTCTTTCGAACCGGTTAAAAAGTATATATTCACGGTGGCCCCCCATTTGTATGGCTACCCCGCAGCCCTTAACGACGTCATCTCGTGAAACACGTACAGCCTCTCGGACCATTAATTCAAAGTCACCGCCAGAGGCTCGCCGCATAATGAATGTCCCTCGAATTGAAAAACGGGATCGAACGGGGTCGAAAGAGAAATAGAAATAGAAATACGGGGGGGGGGGGCTTTGTCTCTTGAGAGCCAGGAATTAATCTCGAGTACGAATCCGTAATTAGATCACAGGAATTAACACGTGACCCATGGTGATCATCGGTGAGCCATTAAATTATATAAAGAAATAGTCAGTTTTTAAACAGAAACATTTATCGTTTCGTATATATAATTAGTAGTGAAGTAATAATGAAAGTAATTAGTGTTGAAGTCAATGTGTGAATACTTATATCGTTAATAACAAACATAGAAACAAAAAATTTCTGAATTTATGAAATATTTGTTTTTCATAATTTTAGAAATTGCAGTAGTAACGTAAATTTTGTATTAATAATTAATAGACGATAATAAACCAACCTGTATCATTGGTATTATTAGCTGAGTAAATCAATTATATCTTGTGAAGGTAAGTTTTCAACTTTTTGGTTTGGATTAGAGTTCACATTTGAATTGAATTCCAACTCATTTTCAGGTAATTTGATTAGAAACCCAAGTATTTGCGTTTCGATTTAAATTTACATTCATTCCTTGTGAACTGAAATGTTGATGTGAATTTGAATATTATTGTAATATAGTAAAAACTGTGACAGTCAACGTGTGAACGGAGGGTACATACAATGAAAGTACGCTGAGAAGGGTTATCGGAAAGTGATCAAAGCGTAGAGACCCGTGCGTGATATAAATATGCATACTAGCAGCCTTAATATCTAGACCGAGAATCGGTTTAATGCGTCGCAAGTAAGGATCCGTTCGGGATATTTTAAACGTATCCCGACGGCTTCGCTAATTGAGATAAATCACTTGCCTCGTGTGTGTGTCTGTGTGTGTGTGTGTGTGTGCGTGTAGAGGACACGATTCGAGGGGAGGTTAAATGGATCGTGGGCAAACTTCTGGCGAACGAATTCTCATCGCCCGATGACAGACAGGTAGGATACAAGGCGAGGCACCCTAAAACAAGCCACCTGAATATGTATCCCGACTGTTACTGGTGACTAGACTGCAGATTTTTATGCAAAATAAAATTTTATAGTGTAATTTGTAAAGATACGAGTAAATGCAGGAATTTCTTTGTTCTATTAAGTATCGTTTTATATTTATATAGGTTCATCAGAAAATATATTTATCAGGTGAAGAATAAAACAAAAAAGTCGTTGCTTCTGATGAAAGTTTTATATAGTACTATAAATGTTTGATGTATAAATAGTACTATATATATAATTTTATATATTAGAACTATAGAAATATTCTACAGTTATTAGAACTATAGAAAGAATCTACAGTTCTGTAAGTGTCTATTGTATTTGCAACAAGTTACTCAACACTTGAATTCCATCGAATGAATGAGGAAGGACCAATAATGTCTTATTTTACCGATAAGCTTTTAAATGCACATTCAAGTTTGTGCCATACCATCTATAGAGGACTAGAAAAAATGCACGATTACTAATATTCTATTTCGAAATTTAGAGTACGTAATCGTATGGCGACACTGGGAATGAAAGGGTTAATATCGTATTAATTCAATTCGAAAGGATCTTTGGGAGGGCCAATACTCACGAGGCACCGAGGAGCACGGAGTGACGTTAAGGAAGGGGATCAGGGAAAGGCAGATGAAGGATCAAGCCAGCTTATGGGCTCTAAGGCGATGTTTGGCACGTCACCTCGTGTGTAACTGGATGGACTGGGACGAGACACACGCATAATCGCGATTGGTAATTGGCCCATGACACGTGTGTATACATATATTACCTATTCGTCATGAAAGAAAAGAACTGAATATGTAGGATATTGTAAAAGTGACTTTGGGACGATAAAGCATTTGGTGGAAAATTGTCTAGTACTTATGCAAAAAATAATGCAGGATAGAAGAGTGCAAGAAGTGG